CAGTAACTTTGTGAATCACTTTATGATGTTTGACATTACAGGTACCATATGCAATACAAAGATTCTTAATAATTATTGTTAACTATTATGAAGAGCTCTTCATAGTGATTCTTAAATTAATTGAAGGTATTTGGGTTTATGTGATCGACTGATATCATTCGCAAGGAGAGAGTTAGGGCACGCACTGGATGGTGTGTGGTTTGAAAGCATCATAGAAAGCGTAACATAATAATAATAATAATAATAATAATAATAATAATAATAATAATAATAACAATAATAATAATAATAATCCTTGTATTTGATATAGAGTTTTATCATGTCATTGAGACATCTCAAAGCTCTTCACAGAATATACTGTAAAGGAATTGACTGCATATTTTGTCATCGAAATGCGGCAGCCAATTGCGCATGGCAATGTCCCATGAACAGTCGTGGCTTGAGTAACCAAATTATTATTATTATTATTTATGAAGTTTTACCTCGGAAAAACAATCCACCAATCACTATCAACCAGAGTCCCACTTACTGCTGGGTAAACGGAGGCATGTAGAATAAGGCAACCTGCCTAAAGTTTTCCCTGCCCGGGAATCAAACCCAGGTCCTCTCGCTTACAAGGCGAGTTCTCTAACCAATATCCTACAAGACCCCACAAGAGTGACTGAGCTGTAACAGAAATGTTCCCAATTCAATGCAATAAGTGAGAGTGAGTCTCAATGGAATGCTTGTTGCAGCTGTTGCTTAACCTCTGTGTAAAGAAATATTCCCTGGTGTTAGACCTAAAGTTGCCCTTCATAACTCTAAACCTGTGCTCCGTTGGCCTGTTGCCTTTTTGTATCTGAAAGTATTCTTCTGGATTTAATTTGTGACCTTATTTTAGCATCTTGTACATCTCTATAAAGCCCTGGGTTAAGCCATTGTCATTTCTTAGGGCTCATCCCTTTCACACTGGGGATCAGAATTCCTGCTCTTAACTACACAACATCCTGTACTTAGGTAATATGTGTCACAACATCAACAACTTGCACTTATAAAGTGCCCTCACACAGGGTAGCATCTCAGAGCACTTAACAGTGGCGGAGTCTGACTCCGAGTCAGTGGGAGGGGGGAGGTGGCCGAAGGCACGATCGAGGAGGAAGGTCTTCAGGTGGGACTTGAAAAAGGGGAGAGAGGGGGCAAAGTGGAGGGATTGGAGAGAGTGTTCCGTCAGGGTATAGTGGCTGAAAGCGTGACCTCCGATGGTGGGGCGGAGGGTGCGAGGGACGAGCAGGAGGCTGGTGCCAGTCGATCGGAGGTGCCAGGTGGTGGATTGGGAACTGGGGAGGTCAGAGGGATAGGGAGGTGCCAGGGAGTGAATGGATTTGAATACGAGTATGAGGATCTTGAAGTCAATCAGTTCAGTGATGGGGAGCCAGTGGAGCCCAGGCCAGAACTGGTGAGATGTGGGTACAGAGTTTGGTCAGTATGCGGGCGGTAGAGTTCTGGATGAGCTGGACCTTATGAACAGTGGAGCTGGGGAGACCAGCAAGGAGTGCGTTTGAGTAATCTCAAACAAACGCAAGCATGATGGTTTCAGCTGCATTTGGGGTAAGGTACGGTCGGAGGCGGGTAATGTGCCGGAGGTGGAAGAAAGCGGTCCTGGTCAGGGTCCGGATGTGGGGGAGGAAGTATAGCTGGGGTTCAAACCGGTTGCCTAGATTGCGCACTGGTTTGGTGAGTCTGAGGGAGGGCCCAGGAAGGTTGAGGAGTTTAGCTTCGCAGGAGTGAAGATTTTGCTGGGAGCCAAGGAGTATGGACTCCATCTTGTCCACATTCAGCTGCAGGAAGTTTGCACTCATCCAGGCCATGATGTCTGCCAGACAAGGTGATAGAATATTGGAGGAGGCAAAGTAGATTTGTGTGTCATCCGCATACAGAGGGAGAATATAGATAAGGAAAAGAAGAGAGCCAAGGATGGAGCCTGGGGTACCCCACAGGGTGGGGGCGGGAGGAGAAATCATTTTCCTAGATGAAATGGAAGATGTTGGTTAAGTAGGACTCAAGTCATGCGAGTGCGGTCCCACTAAGTTGGATGAGGGAGGAGAGGCGGTGGAGGTGGATGGTGTGGTCGATCCTGTCGAACGTGGCAGAGAGATCCAAGAGAAAGAGGAGGCGGAGAGAGCCCTTATCACAGATAGAGGGTGTCGTTTGTGACTTTGACAAGCGCTGCCTCTGTGCTGTGGGCAGGACAAAAACCGGACAGCAGGGGCTCGAGGAGGGAATAGAGGGAGAGGTGTGACTGAAGTTGACCTACAACAATGCGTTCCAGAACTTTGGCAAGGAAGGGTAGGTTGGAGATGGGACGGTAGTGTGTGAGAGATTAGAGGGTTCGAGGGTGGGTTTCTTGAGGAGGGGTGAGATAACATCGGTTGTCAGTGGGAGTGGGACAGTGCCTGAGGAGAGAGACTGGTTGACGGTGACGGCCAGCAGAGGGAAGAGGAGGGGGAGTTGAGTGACCAGCAGCTGAGTGGGGAAGGGGTCGAGGCAGCAGGTGGTGAACTTCATCCAGGAGATTCTGGATGGGAGGGAGGAGGGAGAAATTGGGGCAAAGGAGTGTAAGGAGGGGGGAGTAGCAGGAGCCGCAGTGGAGGGAGAAAGCGGTGTAGATGGTCTGGGTGGGGTGGAAGGGTACATGGGATGGGAGGAGGACGATGCAGCCAAGCGGATGTTTTCAATCTTTGAGGCGAAGAAGTTTAGGACCTCTTCGCACTTGGCGTTTGATATGAGGATAGAGGGGGCTTGAGGGGGTGCACGGAGGAGGAGGTGATGGATGGTGGGAAACAGCATCTTTGCATTGTTGTTTGCCTCCAGGATGACTTTGGAGTAAAAGTCGGTTTGGTCTGTGAAAGGGAGAGAAGGTAATTGTGAAGGATCTTGAGCCACAGCTGGTAGTGAATCGTGAGGCCAGATTTCTGCCATCTGCGCTCGATTGTCGGGTTTGTGTCCGGGTTCATGGAACATGAACATAAAGCACTTGACAAAACGATGGGATCGCAGGAAGGGAAGGAGGATGGAAGCGCATCCTCTGTACTGTCTCTAAGTGGCTGTTTGTGGGGATATTGCTGAGTGCAAATTGGCTGCTGTGTTCACGTAGAGAACAAACAATCACTACACTTTGCAGTAAGTCCTGTGAAGTGCTTTGAGATGTCCCCTTGTCTTGAAAGACGCTGAATCAAATGCAAGGATTATTAAAGCAACTTGCATTTATACCAGTGGCGGCTGGTGAACTTTTTGACAAGCGAGGCAAGCTGAGTTTTCCTAACCAAGCGATCTTGTTACCATGGCCATGGCCCCTTCGCGCACACACAATGTCTTGGTCTCTCTCCCGCTGTCCTTGCTCCTCGGCTCCCCAATTTCCTGGTGACACAGTGCCTGATGAGATGATTTACACGGTGCCCTTCATGTGGGGTAGCATCTCAAAGCGCTTAATGATTGCGTTTCACACCGAGCTTGAGAGATGAGGGATGTGACCGTAGGCACGGTCGAAGAGGATCTGATGACGGGAAAGAGGGGATGAGGAGTGTTTGAGGTAGGGAGTTCCAGAGCCCAGTGACTGAAAGCATGGAGGTGAAGTAGAGGGGACGAGCGATGTGTAGGTGGCCGGAACTGGCTGAGTGAAGGGGGCAGGTAGAGGAGTGGGGTGTGAGCAGATTGGAGAGGGAGGGAGATGATAGGGCACAGAGTGATTTATGGGTCAATGTGAGGATCTTAAAGTCAATCTGTTTAACATGAAACCTCTTTGAATTTATGTCTAAATGTGAGCAATGACTATTCTGAATGTAATGGGGTCATTGGCTCCCGCTTGCCTTCGCCCTGGGCGTGTTGTCACTTTTATAGAATCAAAGCATTGTTTCAAATGTCAAAGAAACAACTTTACTCTATCTCAAGGAGCACGGCTCACATCCTCCCTCTTCCAAATGAGGTTAGAGAGTGCACGAACATGCTGGCCAAGACAGATGTGAATTAAAAAGCCCCTTTTGTCTTTTTTATAACTTTAAGCAATAATAAAACTTGCATTAAACATCTCAAATAGCTTCACAGGATTTGCTGCACAGTGTAGCGACTATGCATTTGCAGCCAAATACACAAATACAAAATATTTGAATAATAATGCTTGCATTTGTTATAGGGCCTTATCACATCATTCAGACATCTCAAAGCGCTTCACAGGATATACTGTAAAGTGAATTGACTGTGCATTTTGTGAGCAAAACACGGCAGCCGATTGCGCACAGCAGTTTCTCAAAAACAGCCATGGATTGAGTGACCACATTTTTTTGAGGGATTATTACCACCTGAAAATAATCCGCCAATCGACTAACAACCAGGTTCCTACTTATTGCTAGGTAAACAGGGGGTGTGGAGTACGGAAACTTGCCTAAGGTTTTGCCCTGCTCGGGAATCAAACCTAGGTCCTCTCGCTTGCGAGGCGAGCTCGCTAACCACACTAAATGATAATAAAACTTGCACTTGATGTGTTGTCGAAACATCTTAAAGCGCTTCGCAGGATTCACTGCAAAGTGGAGCATCTGTGTATTAGCGTCCAAAAGGCACATTGTAAATGTACAACTTTGTAAAGTTCTGGAGTGTTTGCTCAACTGCTGGGTAATGGTAGAAATTTGAACAAGAATTGTAGTCGGGAGTGATGTTGGGGCGTGGGGGGGTGGGGGGTGTGGGAGGAGGAAACTTAAACCCAAGTATTTTGATGGTCAGCAGTTGTGAGTAATGTGATATTGAAGTTTGGAACAGATTATTTTCCCCTTTTCTGTGAAGCTGCATCTGGTTGGCAGTCGCTGCTCTCGAAACTTGGCTCTCTGCTGTCAAACTCAAACCAGCGCAGCAAACAGAAACAGGCAAGGAGCAAAAAGTTTGCAAAGTGAATTGCAGGATTCTTTTGAAATGCTTTGCAAAGGGGTGGGGGGAGGGGACAGGGGGAGGAGGTGCGTTGGAGTGGTGGTGGGGGGGGGGAGGGAGGAGAGGAAAGAACGTGTCCCAGTGGAGAGGATCTTTCTTGTGTTAAGAAATAGTTTTCAGCCAGGTCTCCAGCTTTAAGACTGAAAGCTGTTGCTGACTGGGATTCGGGCTCAGAACACAAGGCTTGCCTCGGCTTGTGCATGTCCATCTTTCGTAAGGTTATTCAGAAGCTGGCGCACAGTTAGGAAAGGCTTTCCAAATAAGCTTTCTGTATGGAGGCCTTATCTCACTGCTAAGGTCTGTTTTCAGTACTGTTGGGAGGAGCTGGAGCTGGGGAGGGGAGGAGAGGGGAGGGGAGAAAAGATAACCAGATGATTTTGACATTTGCAATAAATGTACTAGCTTAGCCATGCGAGACGCAGTTTAGCAGCAGTCCAGCAGCTCTGCTGGGACACATCTGGTGAAGCTCCCTCAGCCTCTGTTACAGAGAAATCATTCTTGCTGGTGTTTCTCCACGATCCTCTTCTCCTCTGTGCGCAGGGGAAAGGAGGGTCAGAGTGTACCAGCGCACGTGCAGTGATATCAGAACGCAGTCATCCTTCACGCTCAATCCCCTACCATTGGAGCTCGATGTCTGTCTACAACTGCGGAGAACGCATGCAGCAGCCAGCTCCCAGAGTTAAGACCACACTGTCAGCATGGGGACCTGCTGGATCAAACACCTCAGAGAGGAATTCACTCTCAGCAAGTGCTCCCCGAAGCCAGACATCCCACAGTTAATGCTTCGACCTCAGGTAGGAACGCAAGTTTGGTTTATCGGCCGGGAGATTTACCGTCGTTAAGAGCAGCTTACCGCAGTCACTGGTCACTAAGTTGCGCTCAGTCCAGGCTGCTTTTCTTTTTAACTGTTTCAGGGTGCAAATTGACGATTGTTCGGTTCTGGTCACCTCAGCGTAAAGGGGGGGAACTGCCGAGGTCCTACAGGCAGTGCAGAGGAGAGCAATGTGGCTGATTCCCCAATGTTAATGGAATGAGCTACAGGCAACAATTAGGCAAGCTAGGGCTCTCAGTCTTGAGAGAAAGTTTACGAACGTGTGTATAGGATCGGCAAAGTAAATACCGGTGTGAATGCAATTTCAGGACAGATATCAGGAAGTATTTCTTTACCCGGAAGGTAATTAATGATTCGAACAGGTTACCGGGGTGGGGGTTTGAGTCCAGGACGCTGAACTCATTTAAGAAATAGGTCAATGCTGTATTGGGAATCTTCAAAGGAGATGTCTCAGTGAAGAACTTATAGAGATGTATGCTAACCTATTGGGGGGAGGGGGAAGGTAAGTGGGGTCTCCTTGGAGCTCAACTGGCTCTGAGGTGACATGTTTGGCAACGGCATGTTGGGATCGAGTCAGTCCTCTGAGGCAGTCTTGGTAGTCCGGTTCCTGAAATCGGCAGGTCCGCAGTATTCCAGAGCACTGTTAATGACAGCACAACACAGTTCATTGGCACCACTTGAAAGAACAATCACTGTGGGCAGGAAATCCTCCCATTCAGCTCCAGTTAACCTTGCAAGCCAATTCCGATTAATTAGGGTGGTCCTAGCAGGACAAGCAACAGGAAAGCTTGCCAGACAGTGCTATTGATGGCAAGCTCTGCGGTTTTAGCTGGTTAGACTCTAGCAGTACCCCCAACCGGGTCCCCAAGCCTTGGCTCCTGCCAACCTGCGCCTTATATGGAATTAGATACACAGGATGCATCCCACCAGGGAGAGAGTTCACATTCCATTCCAGCAATCTACCTCTGGAATTTCCATGTGTAGATGGGATGCCTGGAATTCTCAGTTTGGTTTGGATGCTCTTAAGCACGGTGATAGGTTTCCGCGTGTGTCAGACACACGGCTGCCCCCGCTCCCCCCACAAAAAAAAAGTGTATACAATTGTAAATAGGATTGAAAAAGTAAACCCAAAACAATACTTTAGGTTGTACCTAGATAGTAGAACAAGCGGTCAGGTTTAGAGTTGCAAAGGGGCAATTTTAGGACAGACACCAGGAATTATTTATTTACCCAGAGGGTATTTAACAATTGAAGTAGCCAAGAGGGGTAGTTGAGGCCAGGACAAGGCACTCAATTTTAAAAATTCTGCTTTTAAGGGGGTCAGTCAGGTGTCTCACACATGCAGATCTGTCACCTCCAGAAAGAGTTCCATCTACTTACTCCACCTACACATGGAAATTTCGCTGTGACTGCAATGGAATATGCACTCTCCTCTTTCTGGAGTGACAGCCTACTTACCTAATCCTGGAGAGTATAGCAAGGAAAGCAAGAGTCAGCTCAGAGTTGTGATGAGAGGATGGGTGTACTGGAAGAATGAAATCAGATGGCGATCTTTGACCTTGAGAGAGAGAGACGTGGATAAGTCTGGGTTAATACACTGATTGTCTACATCATTACGTGGAGTCCCGTAGCATAATGGTTGGTGCATTCGCCTCCTAAGCAAGAGGACTTTAATTCACGGGCGGGCTAAAACCCGAGGCAAGTTTACTTACTCCACACAACTCTGTTTACCGAGCAGTAAATAAAAACACAGTTGTTAGTCGATTGACGCATCACTTTCCGGAGTAATAATCCTTCAACAAAAAATCCACGACTGTTTGTCAAACACACGGCTGCCCCCCCACTCACCACAATTGGCTGCCCCGCGTTTTGCCCACAAAATACACAGTCAATCCGCTTTACGATATATTCTGCAAAGCGCCTTGAGATGTCAAAACAATGTGATAAGGTGCTATATCAAATGCAAGAATTATTATTAATATTATTATTTCTGGCTTCTCTCTTTGCCAGTGGAGGATCCATCCGGTCGTGTGGCTGGGATATCGAATATTCATGGGGGTCTACACACTGTCCTGGTGTGTGTGCAGTGGTGTACAGTACAGAAGCATCAAATGGTTCATCTTCTTGTCTCACCTTGCCTACGTCATGCTCACCGTCTACTTCAACCTAGCGTTGGTAAACCTCATTTGTTACATGACGCTAGGACTAAAGGGTTCCACTAAACAGAGCACAGACACAATGCTGGAGGAGAAATTCAACTCAAACACAGGTGAAAAATATTTCGCACTTAAGGCTATTCTCGGGATGACATTAACCAGTAATTTTTAATGTTCTCAGACTTTCTTCCCCACTGCTTTAATGTCAGGAAAAACAACCTTACTAGTCGTTTAACTGTGAAGCGCTTTGAAACAGCCGCCTGACAATGAAAGGTGCTATCCTTGCATTTGATACAGTTCCTTATCTCCTCATCAAGATGTTTCAAAGCGCTTCACAGGATATAAACTGTAAAGTGTCTTTTGACGTCGTGAGGACACATTAAAGTGCTATTACTGTTATCAAATATTATTTGTTCCCTAAAAGAAAATGTTTAAAAAATAATAAAGAAATAAAGAAATCAATGAATCAATGAATGAATCAATCAATCAATCAATCCATCCATTCATAAAAAGTAATAATAATTTTGGCCACTCAATCTACGACTGTTTCTATATATTTTTCCCATACAGCGGTTGTTGAGGTGGAAGCCAGCGAGAGCTCGGGATCGTGCCGGGTTGCGCTGTTGCCAGTGTCTTCGGCATTGCACTCCAGCCTCTCCGTGCAGTGGATCCTCCACAACCTGATCAACGTGCACGCCCTCTTCGTCACCATCGCCTTCTGGAGCCTGGAGTACCAGCCGGGACACACACAACTGGACAGTGTCAACCTCAACATGCACCTGGTGAACAGCGTGCTGGTGCTGGCAGAGCTAGGGCTGATCGCTGCCCCCATTCACCTCCTCCACGTCCTCTACGTCCAGTGCTTCTGCACCATGTACATTGTCTTCACTGTCATCTACTGGAGCGCTGGGGGCACTAACACCACAGGCAAGGCCTACATCTACTGGGTGATAGATTACCAGCACCGCCCCGGCCTGGCCGCCGGCTGCAACCTCGTCATCGACTGCATCGCCATGCCCACCCTCCAGTTCCTGGCCTGGAACCTGCACCTCCTCAGGCGCTGCGACCACCTCTCGCTCTGCCAGCCCCAACTCTGACCCCGGCATTTATTCCCGGCAGCAAAATTCTCTGTGTCAGGAAGACGTCAGGAATTTACTGTATGAAACGCGTCTGTCTTTCCATCAACAAAAAGGCCATCACTAGGTCTCCCGTCTTGCTCCCCCTCCACTTTGTTGTACCCTCCCCCCACCTCCCTTTCGCCCATAAAATATACAGTCAAATCAATTTCCAGTATGAAGCGCTTTGAGACATCTTGAGGATGTGATAAGGCGCTATATCAAATGCAAGGATTATTATTATATATTATTCCCCCCCAGCCTCCCTCTTTCCCCCCCAACCTCCCTCTTCCCCCCTCCCCACCCTCCCCAAAACTGAGAGCATGAGCAAACAAAGTGCTTTCAGACCCAGTTTAACATGGTTTAACATTTCCTCCGAACGGCACGTCCAACAATGAGTTGCTTCCAGAACTGTATTATGTCAGCCTAGACTGAGAGCTTCAAGTCTCCGTGTGGGACTTGAACCCACAGCCCTCTATCTGAAAGATGAGAGAGCTTTTGAACTCCATCCAACAGTCCCTTCGCCTCGCCTCTCCCTTGCCTCCTTCAACGCACATCTCAAGACCTTCCTCTTCGACCACGACTTTGGTTACCCTCCTACTCCTCGGGACCCTCCAGCGGCTTGGGTCGTCCTCCTGATGTGAAGGGCGCTATTTTTACCACCCACTCTCCCTGCCCTCCACCCCTCCTGATTCCACCTTCCAGCTTGGGTGCAAATCTTTGACTGGCCAGTACTTTGGTCTGTTCTCCTAACGTGAAAGATGCTCTATAAATGTAATTTGTTCTTGTTTGTGTTGTTTCTTTCATCTGAGTCAGGCTGAAACCTGTTAAAGTGGATCACAAGGTGGGAACATCGGATGGGGGAGGAAGACAATTGAGGCTGTTGATCAAATGATCAAAAAGAGAGGTGTTTAAGAGAGTTTTTAAGGTCAAGAGCCCTGATGCAATGGAAGGGATCTTGTTAAGAGTGCCAGGAGCATGAAGCACATGTGTAGAATTTACATCTAATCTAGCTAGAGTACTTATACACACATACATTGTATTCCCCACATGTCTACTCCTCCATAAAATATAACAGACAGTGTAAAGTTCTGTGTTAAATAATAAACAACAGGTTTGGGTCATAAAGTTCATTGACTCAACACCTAATCTACACGATTAGTATATTCTATGTACTTATCTAGTCAATATACTCTGCAGTATATATGCATTTATCTCGACGCAGGATCGATTCTGTGGTATTCAAAGGTATTTATGCTGTAATGTGCATCATGCTGTATCCTTGATTCTACTCTGTACATCTAGAGCAACTGTATTTAAACCAATAATGATTCAATATCCAACACTGTCCTATATGCCTGTATTGTAATACTCATCCCCATTGCCCACTCACTAGTCAATGACTATAACGCAGTGAACTGTATCTACATTTATTTTTAATATATATTTATTTTATGTATGAATTCGATTCAGTCTATACTATATGTCTGATATTAGCAGCCACACAATGTTACTATTTGATATTAGCCATCACACCACTATACCTCACAAACTACAGACCCATCTCAAACCTGCCCTTCCTGGCCAAAGTTTTGGAACACGTCGATGCAGATCAACGTCTCTTAAATCTCTCTCTCCACTCCCTACCCCTCCGGTCCGGTTTCCGCCCTGCCAACAACACAGACACAGCACTCGTCAAAGTAATAAATGACGTCCTTTCTCTCTGTAATCAGGGCTGCCTCTACCTCCTCATCCTGGACCTCTCAGCCGCATTCGACACAGTTGATCACGCCATCCTCCTCCACTGCCTCTCCTCCCTCTGGGGACCACACTAGCCTGGTTCGGTGCTGCTTAAAAAAACAATAACAATACACCTCGGGAAATGTTTTTTCCTGCCGCCCAGCCCAGTTATGCAGGTGACGCCCAAATCTACTTTTCCTCCTTCAGCTGCAACTCCCAGTCCCAGTCCGCTAATTTCCTTTCAGCTTGTTTGATAGACATCAAGGCCTGGATGAATTTTCTGCAGCTGAATGTCGGCAAGACGGAAGCCATACATACTCTTTGTCTCCCATCAACATCTTCAATCCTGCGGGTCTGAAATCATCAACCTCCTCGGGCTTTCCCTCAGATTCTCCAAACCGTGCGCAACTTAGATATCAGGTTCGATGCCCAGCTTAAACTTCCTGCTCCACATCTTTTATCTGACCAGGAACACTTTTTTCACCTCCGTCACATTGCCCACCTCCGTCCAACACGTCACAACAATGCCTTTGTCACTTTCCAGTTGGACTACTCCAATGTCCTCTTCACTGATCACCTCAGTTCCACCATATGCAAGATTCAATCAATCCAAAACTCTGCTGCCTGGATACTCACCCACACAAAATCTCCGTACCCCCATCACACCAGCCAGGCTCCACTGGCTCCCAATTACCAAACAGATCGATTTCAAGATCCTCTCACTCGTTTTCAAATCACTTGATGCCCTCGAATCTCCCTGCCTATCCTAACTACTTACCCCCCACTCCACCCACACTGCCACTGCTCGACTAGTTCCAGCCTCCTGGTTGTCCCTCATCCCCTCCACTCCACCATCAGTGGCCGTGCCTTCACCTACTACGCCCCGAAACTCTGGAACTCTCTCCCTCAATCCCTCCACCTTGCCCCCTGCCTCCCCACTTTCAAATCCAGCCCGAAGACCTTCCTTTTTGATCATGCTTACGGTCACCTCTCTCATCGTCTCCCCCTGGCTCGGCGTCAAACTCCGCCATTATCAAGCACTCCGGGACTCTACCCTGGGTGAAGGGAGCTATATAATTGCAAGTTGTTGCTGTTGTACACAGTCTTATATTAGCAGTCACACCTCTATACAGTCTATATTAATAATAATACTTACATTTGATATAGTGCTTTATCACGCCTTCGAGGCGTCTCAAAGTGTTTCGCAGAATATACTGTAAAGTGTAGTGACTGTGTATTTTGAAGGAGCAACGCGGCAGCCAATTGCGCACAGCAGTGTCCCACAAACAGTCGGATTCTCTATCAATGGAATATAAAACTCTGATATTAACCTGTGAATTCCTAACCTGCAAGCATCCAGTGAATCAGTTACCATCCACCCATCACTCAGTCTTGTTCTTGTTACTAAGATAAACTCGGGGATCAAACCCCAATTTGTGTCAGGATGAAGATGTGGTCTACCTGACTGAGTGTGTGCCACGGGAGGGTACAGTTCTGCTCTCCCAGGAACAATCCTTAATAATAATAATAATTCTTGCATTTGATGTAGCGCCTTATCATGTGGTCACAACATTTCAAAGCGCTTCACAAAATATACTGCAAAGTGGATTTGACTATGTATTTGTGTGTGTGTGTGTGTGTGTGTGTAGCGGCGGGGAGGGGGGGTTTGGCACAGTCCAGTCACAAGTCAATAACACTGACCGGTGAATTGCTGCTGCACTCAAGACTGGATATAGCTCCTAAAGTGGTTCGCAGCGTTTTCTGTGAAATGTATTGACAGTGTACTATGTCGGCAAACACAGCAGGCAATTTGGCACAGCATAGTAATTACCCCGCAAACAACCACATAGTCAATCCGGAGAATTATTGGCCCCGAGTACCAGAAGAAACTGCCTTCTCTTTTCCATTAACACCATTAAATCTTTAACATTGTTGAGTCCTGTAGCTCAGTGGTTAGAGCACTCGCTTTGCAAGCGAGAGACCTGAGTTCAATTCCAGGCAGAGGGCGAAACCTTGGGCAAGTTTCCTTACTCCACACAGAGCCTAATAATAATCCCTCCAAAAACCCCAAACAATAATAAATTGGTCATTTTCAATCTACGACTGTTTGTGGGACATTGCTGTGCGCAATTGGCTGCCGTGTTCGCCCGCAAATATACAGTCAATTCACTTTACAGTGTGTTCTGTGAAGCGCTTTGGGACGTCCTCCCGACGTGAAAAGCGCTATATCAAATGCAAGGATTATTATTATTATTATTATAACATCCATCTAAACAGGCAGACGGGACATCAGTTTAGCATTTTATCCAAAGGATGGTACCTCTGAAAATGCAGCGTACTGCCCAATATTGCATTGAATTGTCAGCCTTGATTATAAACTCGAAATCCTAATGTCGGCAAACACAGCTTGAACCCACAACCATTTATGACTCAGAAGTGAGAGTGAGCGCTACCAACTAAGCCAGGCTGATAACTTCAAAAAGGATTTAAAAACTGGCTAGCGTCAGACACCAGGGATGGGAGCGTGTGTTACTATCCATCTGGATTCTATATTTCATAGACCACAAGTCACAATGAAACAAGATGCTGAGTTGAAATCCTAACAATTAATTTCAGCTGCAGCTAAACAACAGGAGAGAGTGGTTGATATAAAGACTACATTCTTGGTGAGAATGAGAGACGTACAAGTTCCAGAGAGAGACAAATAATCTTGACTCACACACAGAACGAGATGGACAAAGACTAAGAGAGAGACCATAGGCACCCATAGAGAGTGTGAGTGAGTGAGAGAGAGAGACCATAGGCACTGATTGGCATCCTTACTCACCAGGCAATGTGTGTGTGTGAGAGGGGGAATGGTTGCAGTACAAATAATCGTCACCTGGTGGCGCTACGGAAAACAGGACCTAATAATAATAATCCTTGCATTTGATATAGCGTCGGGAAGTCGTCCCAAAGCGCTTCACAGAATATACTGTAAAGTGAATTGACTGTATATTTGTGGGCGAACGCGGCAGCCAATTGCGCACAGCAGTGTCCCACAAACAGTCGTAGATTGAAAATGACCAATTTATTATTGTTTTTTTTGGGAGAGATTATTATTAGGTGTGTGGAGTAAGGAAACTTGCCCAAGGTTTCGCCCTGACCTGCGTGGAATTGAACTCAGGTCTCTCTCTTGCAAAGCGAGTGCTCTAACCACTGAGCTACAGGACTCCACAATAGTGGTCAACATTGCCCCCAGCAGGCAGTTAGTACCCTGGTTCTGCACAGTTCAAGGGAAGACATCGAAGGAATTGATTGGAAGATACAAGGC